TGCTAATAATTAAAAAGATATATATATATATATATAAAAAAAAAAACAAAGTTCAAGTGGTGTGATAGTTTTCTATGGAGCAGAATTAATGAAATAAAAATAAAAACAGTCGCCATGCAGGGTTAGCTCAGTTGGTAGAGCATAGACTCCACGACCAGAGTGGGTTCGAATCCCGGCAGCAGCAATTTCTTTCCCGTGAAAATTCACCTCTCGCCACTGTTTCAAGTGGGAATGAAGTGGTAAACCCCAAAGAAACAAACAAAACAAGTTTGCTTTTACAGTCATATAAAGTCTTTATAAAATGGCCACCAAGATACATCACTGATATAATGGTTACTTCCTAAACTGGCATTAAATTCTTAAAAATATTTTTTTTATGTATATCATGTTAATGTTTTTTTTCATCAAGAATATTAATACCTTATTGGAAGACTTTAAAATTTTATTTCAACTGTTAAACCATAACAGTAAACACTCATATTATCACAGACCATTCACAAAGTAAAACTTTGTAAAAGAGCAGAAACACGTCCAGATAATTTCATTTCCCTTCAGTCAATAAATATCCGAAAATGGTCAGTCCGAAATCAAGCTTGTTGATAAGTACACACATTAACATGCGGCCTATTAACACATGAGAGAGGATTATAAAACTTATGCTAGCAAAATTTTGAGTGAAAAAAAAAGAAATACTGATGTTCATTGAAATATTGTACACGTGAATCTGTGAATATTTATGTACTTTTGAGCAGACATAAAAATGCTTTAGTCTAGAAGGACACCGCAGGATCTCCACGTTAAGTTGATACTTAGGCCATCCGCACAATTGGAGCCAAGATTTTCAATTCTCAGGCTTCGTCTGTGGTTTGGGAAACGATATGAACACAACACCTCCTTCCAATCGCTCTGGGTAGCGAGAATCGGTGTTGCAAGTTCCCCAGCAGCAGCGTTTCACCATTGTCGCAGTATGTCGGAGTAACGAAACGTAAACAAAGAGGCAAATACTACCCGCGATCTGATTGGCTAAACCGCGCTGACAATCTAAAGCTGTCGATCGGCCAATTAGCGCCATACGCGATGGTAGAACTTCCCAAACCGATAATAAGATGAAGGACTGGTCAGAACATTTTGATAAGGAAGGAAATGATGTTGCAGAGATGACCATTGGACAATCGGTGACCGCCATCCGCGAAGGTCAAACATCGCCTACTGATAATAAGATAGAAGAACTGCTCAAAACAACACCGGAAGTAACAACTGTCACATTAGGAAGTAATTCATCGGCATTTAGTGACGCAGGAAGCAAGCAAGAAGTGACAGGAAGCGGAAGTGACAATCAGGTTCGAATTGCAGCCCCTGACATCGTCCAAGGTATTTCAGAAACACCTATCATTATTTCGTATACGGCATTACTAGCCACTCTCTCATAATGAACAATTAATTGAATAAATAAATCGTCCTAGAACTACCATATACTTTCACGGAATGAATCCTGGATCATCTAATCGTAACTGTATTGTCTGAATTTATCTTAATAAATGTATACGAATAACTTTACCAGATATCTAATTCGTATTCTTGTTGTAAAACAGTTAACGAACCCGTGACAACACATCAGTTGAGAGAGACTTCCGACAAAAAGAACATATTGGGACGACTGTTACACAGACTACTGAAGGTAAGCTTACCATCACCATTGTGAACACGTGTAAGACCATTCTGGAATCTGTGGCTGAAACATTACCACACAATCTTGTACTGTCAAAGCTACACATGATAACTTCAGTGAAAAGAAGAAGTTCTTTCATATGTAAAAACAGGAATGGAAAACGGATATACATATATGATCACCAATTTCAACCGAATTCTTCATTATACCTCTGAAAAAAATGAGAACGATGATAATAAAGATAGTTATATTCAGCATTGTCATTACCTGGTTACTACATTACACTGTTTCTATTTTTTAATAGAGAGACAATAAAGAAGTACAGAAAGCAGTCACTGGTACAGAAGGTGAGAACAGTATCTACTTTGTATGTCTTTCTGTCTAGAACTCTGTCGATGATATGTTCCGAAAAAAAATCCATTCCCACCCCAAAGCATACAAGAAGGTCACTCACGATATCCAATTTAAGGAAAGCGAGATGGAGAAGTTTGTGCTAACTTGTTTTTCCAATAGTCTTATTTCCACAGGCAATTTATTTGATATGTCATGTTTTAATGTTATATGTGTCGTTTTGATAATCCTCTTGTTTTCTGAAATCGTGCATTCTATGTCCAATAGGTGGCAGCAGTGGCGCCTCAGTCGGCAAGCAGACGTCACGTCCATCCAAGGCAGCAAACAACAAGAAAGGCTGGATCCGTAGAAACCTGTTGTGCTGCCTCGTCCGACAGAAGAACACAGCGTGTGAACATGAAAAGAAAGAAATTGTTAGGAATGCTGTTCTGAAAATACTTTTAAACTTACTTTTCCGTTCAGACTAATTTTGTTTTTCAAAATCGATTGCAGGGATAAATTCATTATAGGGGCATGTCAGGGCAAGTATTTATCCATGGCAATAAACACAATATCCGGAAGCCTAAGACATTTTTTTTTGCACTGAAATACAGACGAGAAATTAATTTTCGGATCCAATGATAAATTGTAAAAACATGATACCCATTTGGCATTTTAATTTAACAGAATGTAAAGTAACTTAATGTAAAAGTACGATTTAAAAATACACAACATTTAAAAATAGAAACGTCACATGTTAATAACACAGGGTTGTCTGAAGATAGCATGCGGCGAATAGAACCTCAAAATGGCCCTAGTTGTCCTCTTAGGGACTTGGCACGAACACGCGCGGTCCATAAATATGTATTATAGTGACAAGGGTTGTAACTCCCGAGGAGGGAGAATTTCTATTTCCACTCATCCCCCAAACAAACAAACTTTTCACCATATTTACAATGGCTACCACTTTATGAATTCTGACTATCAACTGCGACCATGACAAAAATAAAATCGCCCTTCAGACTAATATTTATCATGCTGAGTATCACAGTCTGTTAGATGAACTATCCTGTTTGATATTTGAAAATGATAGTCTTTCCTGTATTTCTGACACAAGGTATGAATTTAATGCCGTAGTTTAGACAAAGTGTTTCTTACTCTATCTTTAAACATTCTCTTCGACCCACTACACTAGTTCCATATTATTATTTGCTTGGTAGTCGTAAGGCTAATATACTACACACTAGGTTAAGAAATAAATCCAATACCTTAAATAATGAGCTTTTCAGATCCAATCTAATAGATTATCGTTTCTGTCAATGTGGACACCCTGTTGAAGATACTTACCACTATTATTTTGTTTGTAATATTTATTCGGACCAGAGAGCCATTCTGTACCGAGAACTAAATAATTTTATCCCTCTAGACCTGCAGTTACTCCTACATGGTAGTATTATCTACTCATATGAAGATAATGTAAAAATATGTCAAATCACTCAGCAATATATACTTAATTCAAACAGATTTTGATCTTTATCTCTCTATCTACCTCCCTCTATCTCCTTCCGTGATAAATGTAAAAATATTTGGTCTCTCCTTGCTCCGACACAAGTAGTGACGTTTTTTTTTCTGAAGGACCCGGATGCCAGGAGAAAGCGATATTCGCACGGGATGTGATGAACTGTAGAAAAGTTTGAAAGTTATGAAAAGCGTTTTGTATTTTTACTTGTGTTGTTTGTATCAGGAGAGACCGCTCTACATGAAGTTATTTAAACTCTCTCTCTCGTTTTTTTTTGTGTATTATAATTGTATTTAAACATGTCGTCTTGTCTTGTTAATATGTATTTTGTAAAATTTTATAGGAAAGGGCTTTATATAAGTTAGAAAACTTGTGCCCAATCCTGCTTGTATACTTTGTACAAATAAAATATGTTTAAATCAAAATGCCGTAGTTGACAACACGTTTCGATTACTTTTGATGGTCTAGCGACCACCACCTTTCCAGAAAGGTGTCGAGAGAATGTTTGACATCGGTCTGTAAAAATATATGTCAAGCGTCTAAGTGAATTTGTTTCATGGTACTAGTACGTCTAGGGACCAGAGAATACAACAATTTAGAGGGTTTTTTAGGACAAAATGACAAAAGAAAACTGGGGTCGGTCGCGAAAAAAAATGACAGTCGAGAAACAGGAAACACGTGTATTTATGTCTTAGGAAAACAGACACCCTGTATCATCTAGATGCATTCCTTGGAATTTCAAATCGAACGACCAAAAGTATTCCGTATTATAATCATCCACACTAATCCGAAATTTCTGACATTGTCAAATATCAATTTCTAGTTCCAAGGGAAGTAAATCGAGTTGAAATGTCCGCGCTCTGTCAAAACCGCTCCAAACGGGTAAACTTGTGCTGATTTCTTCTTCTTGTGCAATGATTTATTGACACATATGGAAAAATATAACTCTAGAAAAAGAGAACTTTGGTTTCGAAAACGTATCTGACAGGGTAGTAATTTCATTGTCTAGTTTTAGACCACATTTTGTTCCTCATCTTTTCTCGATTTGTTTCTTACAAACCATTCAAAACACAAAAACAAAACAAAACAATTTGCTGTATGTAGAAATATGATTTTAATTGAAATGATAACATAGTTAGTCAGTCTCAAACTATTTGTGTAGAGACTTTCGTTGTTCAGAAGTATGAAATTATAAAGAATCTACATCGGAAAATCTCAGTTCCTATCTCGATTACTATCAACTATACAAACCGAACCCGACATGTGAGCTCTTCGTTACACTAAGACATGTTAATCGTTTGATTATACGATGGCAATCGACAATTATCTACACAGGCAACGGCGTAATATAATATATACTTTTAAATCCGTTGGTTGACATGACTCTGAAACCATGTTTTTATCACAGAAGAGCTCACCATCGATTGGTTTGACTGTCCTCAAGTTTTGTTCAGGGCGCCGAATGAATTATGTCTGCCATCTTCAACTTTTGTTGTTGGGATTAGAGGACATCTGTTCGTCCGTCGAACTAGTATTAGATCTAGTGTCACTTTTTATACTTCCTTTTGAGTCGGTTCTTGTGTGTGTTTTTGTGTCGCTCTTTATACTTCCTTTTGAGTCGGTTCTTGTGTGTGTTTTTGTGTCGCTCTTTATACTTCCTTTTGAGTCGGTTCTTGTGTGTGTTTTTGTGTCGCTCTTTATACTTCCTTTTGAGTCGGTTCTTGTGTGTATTTTTGTCTCGCTCTTTATACTTCCTTTTGAGTCAGTTCTAGCGTGTGACTTCAGGTCACCCCTCGACTTCCCGGTGGGCAATTTGGAGTTCTGTTTCGATTCAACTTTCGGACTTGACTTCCCGTCGGATTTTGTATCACTTCCGGTGTCATTTTTTGTGCTCAGTTTACTTTCCTTTTCTTTAACACTTTTCGCATTTGATTTTCCTTGTAATTTCGTTTCACTTTTTACATTACCCTTTGCGTTATTTTCATTTGTTTTATTTTCCGATTTAGTGTCACTTTTACTGGACGCTACTTCTGAATTTGCGTCGCTCTTCGCGTCGGTTTTTACGACAGATTTACTGGCTTGCTTCGCGTTCCCCTTCGCATCTGCTTTAGAGTCACCTTTTCCATCACTTTTTCCACCTTGCTTTACGTCACTTTTCATGTTGGTTTTATTTTCGGATTTGTTTCCTGGTTTCCCGCCAGTCTTGTTCACTTTTGTTTTTGCTTTCCCTTCTGATTTACTGCCTTTCTGACCGGGTCTGACTTCTGTTTTTTCCTCAACCTTTTCTTCCGTTTTGTGGTCTGATTTTTCGGTGACATTACCCTCCACGGGAGCTTCAGCATCAGTTTCAGCCTTCGTTTCGTCTGGTTCCTCTTTCGCCTCCTCATCAGCATCATTTCCGCCTTCCATCATCTTGGCGAACTCTGCGATAGAAAAGCAGGACATTTAAACGGAGAGTGAAGTTTAACAACTATTTAGTAAAATATATCCCCCGTTTTATTTTTTCTTTAAAGTACAAATTTATTTGTCCAAGAATTTATTACATTCTATGATAAACTGTCACTCGTTTTCTTGTGATTAAAAGTGGAACACGTGCTATTTGCAGTGATTTGGATTTCGGGTGAAAATTCAGTCAAATGGGTATAGTATACATAACAATTCCTGGTAAAAATAGAAATTCGAATTTCACAAAATTTCCTTCATTCAGACCTACTTGAATAAATCTTTTTCATAATGAAAGTTTGAGAATATGAATATGAACAATTCTGACGTGACGTTAACGACTTGTGACGTCAGCGTTACAATGTCATTGAAAGTAACACTATGTAATCACGAAGTAACTCTAGTTAAAACAGATTTATTCATTAGACAATTTTACTGGTATTAGAAATTTATATTCGAAAAAATTATACCGAACAAACTCATTTTGGTCTGAACTTATTGATCATTTTGACGAGATAGCAACGACATTTGACGTCACTACTTCTATTCGATATACAAACATTTACAGGAAATGACGTCATAAGTACCTTCATATTGTATGACGTTATCATGGTTTTTGTCGAATTGCTCCATAACTTCCTCTACGCTAGATACTCCAAGTTTATCACCCATTGAAGTCAAGACCACAGCGAGCTCTTCACGTGTCAGGAATCCATCCCCGTTCTTGTCGAACTTTCGGAAGGCCTTCCGAATCTCCGACTCATCGTCTGTGATCTTTTTCCTTTTCACGGTGATAACGACCATCTCCTCGAACGTCACCTTGCCGTCACCTACAGACAAAACATTACCGTATGTCTTTGAATCGAAGGAGGACAAGACAAATGTGATTGTGGCAAAATAGAAGCATTGTCGCTTTAGGAACAAGAAATAATTCGGATGTAAAGTTTAGTTTGAAATCGAAAATTGGTCTTAAAACGACAATGTTGGAGACGTCCACTCAACCCGAACTCTGTCAACCACTGCCGACATCATGAATAACACTTCAATCCCTTTGATGGTTTAAAAACTATATATACCATATATAGACACCAGTACCAGGAAAAACCCCAGCCTGCAACTCTCAGTTTCGATCTGAACGTTAGTGTATCATAGTTCAACATAATAACCCCACCCCATCTCACTGTTGTCACTGTGAAACACGAAAACTCCGTCCCTTGTCACTATTGTCACTGTGAAACACGAAAACTCCGTCCCTTGTCACTATTGTCACTGTGAAACACGAAACTCCGTCCCTTGTCACTATTGTCACGGTGAAACACGATAATCCTGGTGTAAATTATCTTGTAGCACGATAAACCACGCCCCTTTTACTGTAGGTAGCTCCGCCTCTGGTGTCAAGGACCTTTCCCTTGTACTATGTAATATGATTCCTCTGTAAGTCCATCCCCTTTCACTACGGATAGTAAGATAGCCCCGCCCCTAATGATTATCATCTTGGCTTGTGGTATGATAAACTCAACCCTTTCACTGTATGTAACTCCGTCCCTGATGTAAGTTATCTTGTCCGGTAGTGTGATACAAATGTAAACACCGCCCGTTTCACTATGAATGGTGTAGGTATCTCCACCCCTGTCCTGTGGTGCGATAATCCTTTTCACGGTGGTCGCTACCGGTAGGCAATGCACCTTTATCATTAGACTTCTGTTTGATTCTTTCATTATAGAAGTTATAGAATTCGCCCCTTGTGTAAATTTTATTTAGTCAGATAAGTCGCGTCCCTACCTCCCAGCACGGCAAACTCACCGTTAACGTCATGAAGTTTAAGGAGAGCTTCGGCCTCGCCCTCAGCAGGGACTTGGTTGATACATTTCAGAGCTTTAGCAAAGTCCTCCGCTATCAGATAACCTCTGTTGGTCTTGTCGAAAAACTTGAATACGTCACGGTACACTGAAAAAAACCCAACTTCTCGGTAATAGAAATATTTTGACAAACTTTTGAATATAAATTATGAAAATAAAGAAAACAACTTTAATTTAATCTTAATACAAGTATGATATGGTGATGTTGTGGTAAATGCGCTCGTCTGTCACTTTAGACGTTCGCGGTTCGATTCCCCTAACGGAAGTTAAAAGTTACAAGTACTCCGACGACATACTCCTATGGGCCTTCTCCCAGCTATTTTCATAAGGAATTAAAACAACCCTTGATTTGAACAATAACTCTTTTTAATTTCATTTTGTTCATTGCCTCTGTGTTATTACCAACTTTTCTTGTACGTTTAGTAACATTATAAAAACGCCGGAGCCGTTTACATATCGTTACATTTTAAATTGCCATTTCACTTAAACTTCTTGTTTAAATCATGATAAATCTCCAGATTAGTTTTGCCAGGACATTGCCCATTTTACATAATAAAACTTGTTAATGCAATACTCTTACGTAACGAGATTAAACGATCATACCGTGTCAGACGCCAGACGCAGACTAATTAGCTTATAATGTACTAGTTCCAGTCACAAATGAGAGTTAAAGTGTCACGTGTCAATTTAATAGTATTCGATTGACCTTATTGTGTAATTATAATTGTATATCACGTGATCAATGATCGATTATGTGTTGGAACTAGAGCTCGGAGTAAACGGGTGGGTTCCTGGGTAATTCCAGATATCATGATCTTTTATCGGCCTATGTATTCGTAACAAACGATATTGATTATGATTTCAGTATTTTGATAGTTTTTATATCACTGGAGAGACTCGTGTGATTGGAAATTTGACGCTGTACAGTACAGTTATATAATATATTGCACATCATTAATTGTATATGTTATTTCCATTTTTTTGCTATTTGCTTACAGTTTTGAGGTCCAGCTCTGCCATGAACTGAACTAAGCGAGATAACTCTTACAAATTCCACCGCTATCATTACAAGACAGTGTTTTACTACAACCTCGTGTTCGGTTTAAAATGGTAACTCTTGCACACGGAATCCGAATTTATCGAATACTACTTATCAGATAATAGCATTATCTTTGTCCGGCTTTGTGTAACCGTTAAATTCCGATGTTTATAATTGAAGCTACGTGAGCTATTTTAATTTTTCGTTTTTAGCAAATAATGCATTGAATGTATACACATAATACATCCTAATTAAGCACACGTAGAAACAATCATGCGACTTAATAGTTAGGTTAACACTCTATCTAACATAATGGCCATGCTTTATAGTTTTCACAAGAGACACTTTTTAAAACTAAAGTTTAAAAAGACCTATTTCTATCAGAATTAAAATGTTTAGTAATCTATAAAATACAGTGCTGGGAAAACAGCTAATGCCCCCTAACTCTTACTCTCGAACTAAAAAAAGATTTGAAAATAAATAAAACAGATTTGTACTTACTGTCGATTTCCGCCTTCTGTAGAGACGAAAAAACCTTCTTGTAGCGTACATACTTGTTGGACGCCTGCCAAAATAAAGAAAACATATTCGTGAAATCAGAATCTGCTGTTGATTACAAAGTAACGCCCGCCTCTGATTTTAGTCGTCACTAGACTAGACCCTAGTTTGTCGGGGGTCTCTTGTAACTAACGGCAATATCACGTAAATCTGTGCGTTTCTTTTGTGTATAAGTTACAATCCGTCTGGTCAAGCGATTAAAAAAATCCTGAATGGTCATTACAACGGTATCTCGCGTTCCTTGGGCAATTTGTTTAAAGCTCATCTGCTGACTATAGAAACTTGTCATGAAATTGATGTCTATATAGGGTATCTGAATATATTTCTGATTCGTATTTACAAATGAAATAAATATATTCTTATCGATATTCTTAAGTTTTTTTTATTTCGTACATCGATAAGAATAAGATAAATTATACAACAAATGAAATATTTCAAGACAGATAAAATACTTTTCAGCATCCTTATCAAATATTAGATTATATTAAATATTGTATTTTGGTTGCGTAAACATCAAAATGCAAACGAATCAAATTACCCGTGACCCAGTTTATCCCATACATTCAGCTTTACAAAAATCGTCAAAAGGACACGGATATCGATACTCCAAGTTCCTTTTTATAGTTCTTAGACAGTGCCAGTATTTTTGGGTGTGTGTTTGAATGTCAACATTTGACCCAAATAAAACGTAATGTTTTGTCTCGTGGTTGTCATATTTCAGACACTATCTTGTCTAAAGACAGCTGACTATGAATGGTGGTCGAACTGTTTAGTACACATGTACTCTCATTCTGCCGTGGTAATGTGGTTTGCTATATGAATTAATGAGCCATGATTTAAAATAAATCGATCGGTGATTAATTTCAGAATCACCAGGCATATATCCGGCGGAGCAATTACTGGCTTAACAGACTCTCTCTTCCCTTTCTCTCCCTTCCTTCTCTCTCTCTCTCTACCTCTCTCCCTTACTCCCCTTCTCTCTCTCCCCCTCTCTCTGCCCCTCTCTCTCTGCCTTTCCCTCTCCCTTCCCCCTCTGTCTGTCTGTTTCTCTCCCTCCCTTCCTCCCCCTCTTTCCCCCCTTCCCTTCTCTCCCTCATCTTTCCCCCTCTCTTCCTTCCTCTCCTTCTATACACTATCTGTATCAAAATGCCCTAAGAAAGATGAATGAATGGAAATCCTATACAGCCACGCTGATTTTACACATCATTTTTGATAGAAAACACACTTTACTTTTACATAGTAAAAATAATTAATTGTGTTGATGGTCGTTAGAATATATACTACATCGCAGTTGAATTGTAATACAATATAAATTGATTTTCGTAAATATGACACGGTTTTTCTTATATTTTATCGATGGTATATTACTACCTTACATACAAGTCAATGACAAAAATTCTATTTATAGGATCCCTCCACCACCATCCCCCCCCCCACAAAAAAATCAGTTAAATCATAGGATTCTTATCAAACTTCCAAAGCTATTCGCGCTGTTATAATTTTCGCTTTGCAATTAAAAGTATTTGCGCGTTGACATTGTCGTAGTGAGTAGAATTCAAGAATATTTACGATACAAATAACACTTTAAAGTTGTACGGACCTTGAGGAGTCATACTTTATCCGCAATAGAGAGTTACGTGTATAAATTTGGTCTTGTGTTACACAATATAGACTTATAAATCTGTGATATAACATTACAAAGAGATACTTCTGACCCTTCCACTTGAATAAATGGTCGGCGTTTCCATTTAAAATTGGATTAACGTCGACAATCACAACAAAGTCGATAAACTATCTAATATTGGGCAATTTATTTACAGGAGACACCATTTTGTTCTATGTCCGCGCGTGCTTATTCGAGCAAGTCGCTAGATACCACTATGGGCTTCGGCCCGTGACATTGCAGATCAATGGCAGATTTACAATACAAAGAATGTTCACAACACTACATTTTTTTCTGATCGCAAGACGGTAAATGAATTTGATAATGTAGTATTGGTACCAGACACACACACACACACACGCTCACACACACACACGCACGCACGCACGCACGCAGCACACACACACACACACACACACACACACACACACACACACACACACACACACACACACACACACACACACACACACACACACACACACACACACACACACACACACACACACACACACACACACACACACACACACACACACACACACACACACACACACACACACACACACACACACACACACACACACACACACACACACACACACACACACACACACATATATATATTTTCAAGATTCAAGAAACTTTATTTAGTGTCGCATATATATAACAGAGACAACATTAGCGCTGTAGCGCTATTTCTGCGACAAACAACATAAAAAACAGAACATAACAAGTGAACAAAGGGGACATAAGAATTAGAGACATATATCACAGAAAGCAGACTAGCATGCAAAATTAGCAAAACATAAGACTGACAAGATAACTCAGCAGTATATATCAGATTAAAAATCGTAATTTGGATTTTATCACAGCATTTGATGGAAATATCGCTTCATTCAAACCCATTGAGAATAACGTAATTATTGATCCAATGGTTCACACTCAATGAAAATAATAATTAAAAAAGAAAACGGTGCATATAATGTTTATTTCATTTCTGAGGATTGCTGTGAAATAATTACGTAACATTATTGAATCTGACAACAGATACGGATTTATATCACGTCACAGAAAAGCAATAAGTTTTGTGTTGTGGCTTAATGAGCATCATACAATGAGAATGTACCTGAAATCATAAATCCCTTGGCGATAAATACAAATCGGCGAAGTCCGGAAGCATTCGGAATAATATTCAAGAGCGTGAGTGAAACGATCCAAACGTTGCAACGAAATGGACTGAACATTCATTACTTGATTAAAAGCAACAACGCAAAAACATTTTTTGGATGACGTGAGAGCAAATGTTTTGTGAGAGTCACTTCGGAATTACCTCAGAGTAAACATTTTCGTTGGGCTAATGACGATTAAAATCAGTGTAAAGTTATATGAGAAACAGTGAGTATTGATGTCAGTGTAATGGATCTGTAATGGCCTTGAGAGGAAAGACGTCAGTGTAAACGTTGTGTGAGAACAACTGGATGATGACGTCGGTATGAACATTGTATGGAGAACCACTGACAGATGATGTCAGTGTAAACGTTGTGTGAGAACAACTGGATGATGACGTCGGTATGAACATTGTATGGAGAACCACTGACAGATGACGTCAGTGTAAACGTTGTGTGAGAACAACTGGATGATGACGTCGGTATGAACATTGTATGGAGAACCACTGACAGATGACGTCAGTGTAAACGTTGTGTGAGAACAACTGGATGATGACGTCGGTATGAACATTGTATGGAGAACCACTGACAGATGACGTCAGTGTAAACGTTTTGTGAGAACAACTGGATGATGACGTCGGTATGAACATTGTATGGAGAACCACTGACAGATGACGTCAGTGTAAACGTTGTGTGAGAACAACTGGATGATGACGTCGGTATGAACATTGTATGGAGAACCACTGACAGATGACGTCAGTGTAAACGTTTTGTGAGAACAACTGGATGATGACGTCGGTATGAACATTGTATGGAGAACCACTGACAGATGACGTCAGTGTAAACGTTGTGTGAGAACAACTGGATGATGACGTCGGTATGAACATTGTATGGAGAACCACTGACAGATGACGTCAGTGTAAACGTTTTGTGAGAAATGCTGAGGATTGATGTCAGTGAAATCGATGTGTGATGGCCTTGAGAGATATGACGTTTGAGGACAATTGGGTGATGACGTCTGTGTAAACATTTTGTGAGAACTACCGAAGGATGACGTAAATGAGATCGTGTGAGGACTATTGAGGAATGACGTCGGCGGGATGACGTCACAAATTAAGCTATGACGTTTGAGTAATTCCAGACAGTACAATATCATACGTTGTGTAAAACTTAGATGGTTAGGGATGAAGCCACTGATCATTCGATTGATATTGTAATTTCAGCAAAACTACAAAAAATGTCATACGTTAGTTCACCCGATTAGTTTCCGAAACTAACGGTTCAATTACATTTCGATATGTCTCTACTTCATTAAGTTTTTATTAAATAGCTATAGCCCAACTTCTGCCTCGATTCCAGTTGGCTGTGTTGTAGTCTGAGATGTAATGCACACCTGCACTTTGGTGTTTCCGCCGAATCGAACAGCGTATACATTATGAACACGGCACTTTCTCTGACAGAAATTATGGCTCGAGAGTGACTTCATGAATTTTCTTTGGGAAATGTTTAAATATTTTAAGTCTTGAGAATTTAGAATCTTGTCATATCCCTTAAGCCCCTAATTTCTTCATTTCTTTTAATATTAAACAGAGATGACAATTATGGATTCAAACTTTTGTTCTGAAAGACGTCAAAACCAAAAAGTTTTAAAATGCCATTATGTTAAAATGTACTTCTAAAAGCCTAAGATCTTTGAAAAACTGTTGGACGGGGTTTTGTTAATTCTTATAGAATTTTAATCACCAGAAGAAGTTCGTTTGAATATGAAAGGATTAAAAAGTTAAGGCCAAACTAATTGGTTTGCTACTGAAATCTTTAAAATGAAACTTCATTAGTTAAAAAAGAGAAAACCTGAAATTCTTGGGAAAAGTTCACATAGTCGAGCAGATAACTCTATACCCCATGTCTGATTACAGGATCGAACATTGACAACTGATAAAACAAGATTCCTATTCCAAATACAGAACTCATCTATATAGATGTCAATTCGAGCCCCTCCCCCACCCTCTCACAACACGACTGAAATTAAGTCCGATGGAAATATCGTATTTGGTTTTTGTTTGTAGACAATGAGAATGAAACTTACTCCACAGCGAAATGTTATATTTCATTTCATATTTAGATGCTTAGTTTCAGTAAAAAGAATTCATGACGTCATCTGGTTTCTGACGAAATCAATAAAATGTATAGTAATGA